TTTTGCTGTCAATTAAGCTGAATTTCTGATGAAATGAATTAATGAAGTGCGCCGAGACTTCATTCCCTCAAATTTCTAGGAACGGACTTAGAGACAATAACAGTAAAGCCTTGTGTTTGTTTTTACAAAAATAAAGTTTTCAAATAAAGTATACTTTAAATATTTACATATTTTTTGTAAATCTTTTCTATATATATACACACACACACACACACATGTAGATGTAATAAAAATATAACAATTGTAATATATGTGAGAAAAAATAAATTATTTACTAGTAATAATTAAATGTATGTAAGTAACTAATAATAAGATTTTTTTAATCCTTTTTATTAGACATTGAAAATAGAATAATAAATTTCAATAGAGGAAAACAGTGGCAAATTTTATGAAAAGGAGAATAGCATAAACTAGTTGGCTATTAACAAAATACTAAATTGATAAGCCCAAACATAAAATAGGGCATTAATAATTAATGGGCTAGGACTATAGTAAAATACCTCTCCTTATGCCTTTTTTTTTTAAATAGTAAAGTACTTCTCCTTTTCATTTGAAGAGTCATGATGTGGGCTTTCAAAATTCAACGGCCACAAAAGTTAAAGACTTGGGGCCACAAAAGTAAAAAGTTTTCTCATGATTTGGTGCCCCCTAAATTTATGGGCCCTGGGCGGTTGCCCAGCTGGCCCTCCCTCAGGGTCGGCCCTGATAATACTAGTAATTTTATTAATATGATATGGTTTACTTGTTCTATATAAAAGGTTGACTCCACTATGGAGTCAACTGTTGGCTTCATAGCAAAAGAATCATTAACAATGGACAATATGTTGGTGATGTTGACACATTATTTGTAATAATTTTATGGTGAATTTTGATTCACCTATTATAGTAGATGTTCGTGAAATTTTGATTTATTAACTTTAGTTCAATTTCTATTACAATAAGCATTTTTCATAAGATACTTTTATGAAGAATATATTGATCAACTAAAGGAACAATCTTCATAGCTAAAAAATAATTTTTGGTCGCTTTGAAAGGTAAAAATGGCCAAGATAAGTAGTTTCTCTTTCAACTCTTCAACATGAGGAATGTGGCCACCAAGTTGCGTACAACTTTTGTCTTTGGGAGGTCTGCGATCTACCTATTAATCGATTAGCTAGTCCGTTGGGCGCTCGACTATGTGCTGCTATTGGAGCCCCCTCCTCGTTGGGTTCTAGTTCGAGTCCTCCAGTATATTTGTGGCGACTCCTCTCTTTCCTGATGCTGAAGTCCGTCGGAGCCCAGATCTGGATCGATAACAACCTCTTCGTCAGATCAGTCTAGGCGGTTCGTCCGCAATTTTTGGGTCTGAGTTCTAGATTTGAAGTCCTTTTGTGACTTTTGCTGCATTGTGGATCTTGGGTGTCGATTTGGTGGGTCGTTTAGCTCACCTGATACGGTTAGGGGAGGTTTTACTTTATTTGTTTATTATGTGTGTGTTTTGCTTTTGTGTTTCTCGATTTGCGTTTTGTTAAGTCCAGCAACGTCTAGCGTCCAGTCTCCTTCATGAAGTTTATTTTGTGGTTTCTTGCTGTCTTCTTGATGGAGCTTGTACACCCTTGAATAAATGTGTCATTTCAAGGTGGTTGGTGTAACACCCCGATTTTTATTAATAAAGGAAAATATTAGCTTTTAATTTGAAAGCTAGCCTTTGTTAATAAATAATCATGTTCATGTCCAAGTTCAAATTATTCAGCTAATTATATTCCAAGTTTGACTATTAGTCGATAAATTATTCGATTAAATTATTTCAGTAACTGGATAAGTTCCAGATGTAATTCCGATTCATTTAATTAATTAATGAGTTCGGAATTAATAAGTTAAGTTGACGAATTATTCGAAATGTCAATATTCGGATTAATCATCCGAGTCAAGAATGTTCGAATTAATTTTCGAATATCATGTTTATGTTCAGAATAATTTTTCGATAAGTAATTCATGTCTAATTGCTCGATAAATATTTTACCAAGCATAATCGCACGTATAGTAATTAATAGTTCGTCCATTGTGCGTGATAACTAACTAGTATGTAACCCGTGCGATGCACGGGCTAGTACATGTTTTAGAAAAAATTAAATAATTAAAAGGTCATTTATTAATAAGTTGTTATAACACGTATGACATTTATAAAGTAAACATAAAATCGTCGTTAGCAAAAAATTATACATTATTAAAAACCTCCTGAGTGCATATATATCGCCTTGCTTAAATACACCTCGAAATGCACACATATACGCAGAACGTATAATGGCAGTTATTCCAATATGAAGTTATACAAAATAAGAAAAATTAAAAAATTATATATGTTAGTAATACAGATATAACAAATCAAAATATTACCTCACGATCTTGAAAGATGATCTCAAAAAGATTATTGGATTCCACGTCAAATTTCATCTCAATAATTAGAATTTCTTATTAATAGCATGGAGTGTATCAAATAACTCTCTCATTTTTTTAATATTTTCCGAAAGTTCTATGCGATTTTTTTATGGACATGAATTGGAGAAGTTGATAAAATATGCTATTTATATATATAGGAATCGATTAATATATCTTAATTTCAATTAATTTAATTGTTGAGAGTGGCTTTTAATTACAAACTTATTGAAAGGGAATAAAAATTGGATAGTGTAGGATTTTGAGTATTTTATAGGAATGTAAATACTAATCTTTACATCCAACTTTAATTAATTGATGAATTGAAATATTAATATTTATTTTTTTGTTGGCAGACTCCAAAAAAATTGCATAATATGCGGCCACAAAATGTATCTTATGGATTTGTACATTTATATTTTATCGTGTAGAAGATATAAATTATTTTTGTATTAAATCTGCAAAAGTATAAAACGTGTTGAATAAAGCAAAACCGCATATATGCATTTGGTTCGTATTGATTTAATTTCCTTACTGTACGTATTGGTATTGTTTTTTGATTTAATTTCCGATACCTGAACGAATTAGTATTGTTTTTTGATTTAATTTTCTGACATGGAAGATATGATTTCCGTTTTACAATTATCAGCAATTTCCGTTTTACAATCATCGGCAATTTATAGAGTTTTTTAAATGTATTTTTATACTAAACGATTATATATATATATATATATATATATATATATATATATAGAGAGAGAGAGAGAGAGAGAGAGAGAGAGAGAGAGTTTTAATAGATATATAGAAACATGTTTAATTCATTATAATAATTGATGTACGTCATTAAGTTTAATCTTTATAGAAACACAGTTAATTAATCTAATTTATTATAGAAACAAAAATTTATACACGCATAAAATATTAATTGATTATAGAAACACAATTTATAGAAACACAATTAATTAATTTATAGAAACAATTTATAGAAATGAATCTCCCAAATGTATTATTATATTATTTAATTAGTTGATTAATTGATTAAGTTTAATATTTTTTTTAAGCGCATAAAAGAAAAAAAGAATTTGATATTTTATTTTAAACAACAATTGAAACTCAATAATTCAAGCGTGTAAATATTACTTAATCCAAACGAATGAGAGACGTAATATCACGATAACAAATATAA